GACGACAAACAGAAATATGGTGATTAACAAACTGAGGGACAGCACTAGCAAAAGCGACACAATTACCAGCTCCTTTAAATAGCACGGGGCTTGGGCGGCCAGCAGCGCTTCCCCATCCCGGAGCTGTGATTCTCTCTGTCGAGGCTCTTTAGTCCGTAAGGTCAGGTTTTTGCCCAGCTGTCTGGTGGTGACTTGAGTGTTCCTGTTGGGTGGCGTTGTCTTAGACTGTCCGTGGTGCGTTTCTGTTCTTTCAGGGAAAGTTCCTACAGATATGTGGAGTCCAGATCCCGGCTTGGCCATAGATTGTGTTGTGGGTATCGCATTTGTCCGAGGCTGGGTGTAGCTGGTTGGAGTTTGAGACAGAGGGCTGGTCTTCTGCTTGACATGATAGATGGCCATAGTCTGTTGGTAGCCATTTTCAGTGGACAGGCAGAGGTAGTGGCCCAGTGTGGCAGGGGTGGCCACAAAGCTCAGACTGCCATCCTCCAGGTTCAGATACAAGTCTGAGGACAGCCGACTGTTGGGACGCTCCCAGAGCTGCTGAGACAGCCGTGATGCTGCAGGACACTGCAGACGCACGACTTCGTTCAGAGACACAGACACCAGCTCGCCTGGAGGACACGAGGCTGACATACAGATGATAGTTTGCATCAGAAACAGGTGTTTGGATATCACAGAAACAATGACTGTGCTTCTAAACAAGAATCTATTGGAAAAATCTGAACTTCACACAATCATGTCTAAATTAGAAAAGTGAAAGTTAAATAAAGCAAATTCATGTTTTATATGTTTGACTCACAGCCCCCACAAAACCTCAGCTGTGTGACTTTTCATGATTTATTTCATTCCTTTTAGACTTTTCTCCTCCGTTTAATCTTCAGACTAAAATTGATATTAAAAAGATGTTATACTCACCCGCAGGCAGTTTGTTTGGACCAAATCTGCTCTTGTGATTTAATGAAACACTGCTGCATGCCTCTTCAGCGTTTCCTCTTTCTATGTCCTGGCCTCTGAGGAGGGAAACCATTAACAGAGAAGGTGGG